GAAACATAGTATTAGAGTCCACTAAAGTTTGTAAAAGATGCAAATCATCATGCGTCAAGGCCAACCTAGAGCATAGAGTATGCTCCACACGAACCCGATCTACGGTCCTGGGGGAGGAAACATAAAACAGTGAGCTGGGAAGCCCAGTGAGCGAATAATATAGTTTATACGAAAATAACTTTAACTTTGAAAACATGTATGAATAATTGTATGCCACACAACATAGTTGCACTTACATGATAAGGCAACAACAGTATATATATATATTCTCGGATGCCATGAAATCACACACCACTATCATATAAAATAAATCAATTATCACCACCCTACTAGCACTTAGGGGCCAAGATCATAACTATCTGAACCAGTCCCTAACTCAGACATGAAGCTACACCACCCACAGTCTACCCTCGGGGTGGCACATCCGCACTACCCTCGGGATGGTACGAACATCATTGGATAACCATGCTCAACCCACAGTCTACCCTCGGGGTGTCATGATATGGTATCAAATATAATCTCGCCCACACTCTACCCTCGGGGCGTCCAAAATCCCACACCGGTCAATAACCGCCGGTGTAATCCGCCTGGAGCTCGTCAGGCGTCCGTCTTGTTCTAGTAGGATATACCAATGGTTCGGTAGGACGGACCATCTCAATGCGCGCATGAGGATAAATATCAAATACTAGCTGATGTCTAGAGGGGGACGGTACGGTTTCCAATCCGGGAGTCAAACTAATAATAATCATGCATCCACAATTTCATTCCAAATATGCATCATGCATGTCTTACGCATATATAAAGTATAATATAAAATTTCAATAAAAAGGTATGAAATCATGAATGCAATGCTCACCACGGCAAATACAAAAGTATGTAAAAATTCTATTTACACCCTATTTTATCATCAATTTCACTAAAATCCAAAAATTTTAATCTTTGCAGTCAACCCCCAAACTGACTTTCAACTTTGACAATTACACACCCATAACCGAGAACACAATGCCTCACCAAAATTTTCTTTTCCCATAACAACCTCCCCACTAATTAACATCAAAGCCTAAACCCAACAAAAATAATATAAACACTCAAGATAAATTTTCGGCAACTCCAATTGCAAAATTCATGAACTAAACCCATAACAATAAATCATCAATATGACAGTACCAGAACACAAATGCTGCCTATTGTTAAATTCATTGTGTCAAACCAACTTAACCAATCAATTATCGATTGCATGTCTTCTCCTCGTCACAATACATTGCTTAGCATTCTCGACCCATAAACCAACAAACAAAAAAATATGAAGAGTGACAACATGATAACATCCAAATTGTCCACAACCACACATGTATATATAAACCAAACCCAACCAGGCCAAAAAGACAGCCTAATACATGTAACATAGTTCCAGCAAAAATTAAATTCACATAACAATTACAAGCATGCAATAAGGCTCCACACCACCATTACCAAATCCCATATTTAGCAAAACATTTCACGCACATAACCCAAAATACCCAACCTGCAGCATCTGAATTAGACTTCAAATTCCAACCAAAAAGTTCTAACATACATGAATACCTCCCATAATTCAACACTTAGCCGAACTTAACCAAAAAAATATCAATAAGTGAGCAAATGCTGTCGACAACTTACTTCAAAATATACTTATAATCTTATAACTCAAACATATTATACCAACAAAAAGTAGCCAGCACAAATATAAAAAATTAACCCAACAAATGTGAATTCAAGATGCATGGAATTTTTAATGCATTTACTAGTCCACTCACACAAAAAATTTAGCTCAACCCGAAAAGTCCAACTGCCTCAAAGATCTTGCCTTTCTCCTCCACCTAACAACCCGAAGCACCCAGAATTTAGAGAAAAAGAAATGCACAAACTGTATGTATGGTGGAATGATATGCACTCTAAAATCACATGCATGTTACCCATTGAAGAAAAACTTGTGAGATCTCCTCCTTCCCACTTAGCCGACACTCACTCTCTCTCTCTTTCACTCTTCTTTCCCTTCTCTTTGGCTTTTTTTTTTTTTTTTTTTTTTTTTTTTTTTTTTTTTTGCTATCTCTCTTTTTCCACTCCACCATTCCTCATCTCAAAATTAATAAATTTCACACATGGCAAAACAATGTGCCAAAACCGTGGGCTAATTCTCCTAAAGAAATTGCCTTTAATCCATCTTGCATTGGCCAATTATCATGCAGCCCTTAGTCTTTGATTCTTACATCTGGCAACCCCCCAAAATCCTTTAAATAAAGTTAAGTTTTATCATGATCTCACCCCTAGAGAATTATGCATGTACCCTTGCATGACACAATATTAAAAGGACCCCTCATCTTAAACAATTTCATAAAGTTGTTAAAAGATTTTCACACTTCCAATTTCGCACAAGTACTCTTGCAAAACTACCTAATAACCCACCATGCCTTATTTCTTACTAAAACATCTCTAAAAAGTTTCAATTCTTACATATTACCCCCTAGATTCACATAAATAAAATTAAGTAAAACCCACAAAGAAAATACGGAGTATTACACCACACAACAGATGAAGTAGTATGATTTACTACTTGAGCAAGCACTCCTTCAGTGAGAGAAGACATGAGAGTACTAAGGATAAGATTATCCTGGCGCAGCCAATGAGAATAGGCAAGGTTGGGTGTTTCGGAAATGACATGAGTTTCTGGATGGGAAACAGAGACATATTTAGGAGGTTTGGGGATGGCGCCATCAAGATATCCAAAAAGGTCTTGGCCAAGAAAATATGGCACCATTTGTGCCTTCCAAAGAATATAGTTATCGGGGCTAAGTTTGACAGTGACTATGTTAGACATAGTGAGAATAGAGGGAGATTGAGAGCGTTGAATATTAATGGCGGTAAAGGAATAAGAAGAAGAGGAAGACATGGCTTGTAGACGTTGGTCTTTTTTATGGCTGCTCTGATACCATCTAAAGAAATACAGGATAGAAAATATTTGAATGAATTTTGTATTGATTCAGATTTATAAAAACAATTGTAACGGATTTCCTAAATATTTGCAACACGTGAACATAATTTAAATGTCTAGACATCTATACAATTATCTCTAAATATCAACAAGAATCTCGTGGAACAATTGCTATGTTATCTTAAGTTACATGCAGGTATAGCATACTTGATTTTCTGGTCTTCGGCAGGATCTTCACTGGAATTATTCTCCTGATTTTCAGCAGTGATTTCAGATGAAATGACTTGATCTTCTACATGATAAAACAATGCTTCTTCATAATATTTTTGTTAAGAAAGTCAAATAAAATGCTTTTTCATTTTCTTTTTTCCATTTAAAATCGATTATTTTTATAATATTCAAAACATTAATTTCCAAATGCACAATAAACTGGACATGACGGTGAGTATTTCATATACGAAATCTCATAAATTCTGAAAAGATTTATACTTTAGTTAAAGGGTAATATATACATTTTATTAACAACTATTATTAATTAAAATATATCATTTATGTTAGAAATTTTTCTAATTGTGGGCTAAAATTAATTATGTTTTGGTTTGATAAAACCGAGTAAATGCATAGTTCAATGAGATATCTTAATAGATTTATGTGATCATTCTAGAATTTGTTCAATACACTTCATTTTGAATAATCTAGGTTGACAACAAGTGTAAATTTTAAAGTTTATTAGACTTTTAATGGGAGAGTCCAATAGATTGATATAAATTGACTAGGTCCCCTTTCCAAAACGCGATTACACACTAAACCTCATCTGGAAGTCGCCATTCCAAAGCATTTCTGGAAAGAAAGACCGGTCACTACTTGTAGGAAATTCAAGAAATTCAGAAGCCTTAACAGAATCAGGTTTTTCTAATCTTTAATCTATAAATTTAGTATTCTATAATCAATATGTAGATCTTGGGATTAATTGTTAGAATTGAGTGGAATTCATGTTAGATTTCCTACAATTTAATCCGAGAAGCAAATTAATTATCGATTAACCACCCAAAGGAAAGAAAATGATTTTTTTTTAGACGAAAAAAGTTAATGTAGGTGATTTCTCTCATGCTCAGATTTTTCATGAGCATGAATTACTCTGAGCCAAATGATTAGGTTTTACATCTTTGCAAAACTATTCACAAGATCATATGTGTACTCTATTCTTCTTCATCTAATTGTTTATATAAATACATTTGTATCAATATTTCAAACACATTTGTGTATTCATAATAATAATAATAATAAAATAAATGAATTTTATTTTATTCTACTTCATTCAATCTTAAGTTTTGCCAGCTTAAATATTACATAAATGTTACCGTACTAAGAAATTTTATGCTACATTTTGATTAAAAATTCACTAGAATTTAGAAAATAGCCACCTAAATATGTGCTGAAGTATTATGGCATTAGCTAAACCAGTCTTAAAGAACTTAAAGAAATTTGTGTATCCAGTATTCCATGTAGACACCTAAGAATTTTCTTACAAAATTGATTAATTATTAGTTGATTTATCGAGAATGAAACGTAAAGATATTTTCATGGCAAGACATTGTAAAGCATACTATAACATACCAGTTATATATGGGAAATGGGACAAAATGTTCACTATAATACTATTATGCAATAAATGTTTAGAATAATCAAATTGGTAAAAGAACTCGGAAATATAAAACTTGTAATTTTATTCAGATATATCATTTGTACACGACCAGTTTTTTAAATCATAACTGCAGTATATTGTACACAGGCTTCACGAGTCTGAAATTTTATGTGTTTATCTTTGATGGTAACCGCGCAATATTAAATACAATTGAATAACCCTAAACACAAAAAGCTGTACGCAGTTATCAAAGAAAAATAATAAGACATTCGGAGAAGGCATAAAGACTGCACAAAATCATTCCAAAAGTATAAGAAGTATTACTTCTTTTTAATAACATCCACTGTGTAAATTAAAACAATAATTTACAATTCAATCATTTCTTCAATATCGCCTCCTCTTCGATGGTGAAGAAGAATCATATTTCCTTGATCTTTTTGAAGAACTCATCACGAATCTGCCGTAGGCTTCTCTTTTCCTTGCATCAGAAAGAATCTCCCAGGCTTCAATAATGAGCTTGGTGGCTCCCTCTGCGGCTACCGACGAGCACTTGTCTGGATGAATCATCACTGCCAAGCCCTTATATCTCTTCTTGATTTCATCGGCTCCAACGCCATGATCTTTGATTCCTAGAACTGCATACCATTCGTCTTTAATCGTTGAGTCGATCTTGTGCACCATATAAGCGTTCAAATAGTTGTTGAGACCATGAAGTTGTGGGTTCTTCAACTTTGCAGAAACGATGGAAAAGATTGCTAAATCGTACTGTTGCTGCATGAAGAAGTTTTCTGCCATATCTTTGCAGAACTCGGCTTCCTTGTCTGCAAGGAAGGAGTAGATTAATTCTATGGCTTCTGTGTTATTGAACAAAGACAACATTCTGAATGACAGCTTGAGAGAAAGTTTGAGAGAATGAATATTGGAGAGAATGAAAGTTTTTAAATTCTTATTTATGATGTTCCACACATTATATATTAAATGAGACACCAAAATGAAGAATGGTTCACAAGTAAAGAGTTTTCGTAATTGTTGAAGATTGATCCCAAAGTAAAAAGTTTCCTAATTGTGGCAGGATCTTTTACTTTCCAAATAAAATGAACTCTTCTACTTGAAAGACAACCGAAGATTAGAAAAAAGTTTCCTAGTTATACTGGATTACAACTATTACATATCCTAATATATCTGGTTTTTTTTCTTTTTTTTTTAAATATATATATCCAAATGTATCTGTTTTTTTATTATTTTATTACGGTTAATCTTGATTTTAGAGAAGAATGAAGATAATTATTAGCGATATATACCATGCTGTTTCAAAGTAAGTTGATGGACAGTGGCATTCTATCTTTTATTTTCTATATAATATCAAAATTTTACTATTAAATAGGATATATATCAGCTTATAAAAAAGAAGGATATATATTAGTAATTTAATGATAAGTTGTTATTATTATTTTAAACATAAAACAGCAATATATATCCGAATCTATTACCTATCTACGAGTCTTGTATCTTCGAGAGTTAATCAATTTGAAACTAAAGTTTTTGACAAAGTTAAAGAACTTTAAATTTATTAATTGTTTATATTAAATCAGTCAATTAACGACTTGAGATATATTGATTTAGTTAAAAATCAAACTGGTAAAAATATATGGAAAGGTAAAACTTGTAACTTTATTCGTATTATCATTTGAACAATACTAGTTTTTTCAATCACAAATGCAATATATTGTTTTAGATACGATTTTTGGATTTGGAAGTTTTACAACAGCGTCTTATTTTTATGATCATGAACAATGACGATAATAGACATGCTCAAGTCAGAGTTAGGGTTTCTTCATCTTTTTTTATGGACATTATTCTTAGCCCTATGTGATACTCCGGTAGCATGAAATTGTTAGAGAAAGAAATAAGTGAATTGACCATGAATGGCAAAGACCAAAAAGAAGAGAAATGATGAAACTTCCCTTCACTTAAGTTTGCTGCTGCAAACACTGCTGTTTTGGTCATTGTATACCAGCAGTTAACTTCTTCTTCTTCCTCTTATTTATTACAGTACATATATATTGTGAAATGTATCCAGAAGTTAATAATAAAGATAAAAAAAGTTGCAATTCCCCCTCAATTTCTTTCTAATTTTCGATTGTTCTCTAAAAGTTCACAGAAATATTGCAAATTTTAGATTGCTCTCGAGTCTGAAATTTTGTGTTTATCTTCGATGGTATCCAAATTTTTGTGTGTTTATCTTCGATGGTTTTTATGATTTATTAGTTACAATTGAATTACAGTAAACATAAAAGGTTGTATGAACTTATCAAAGAAAAATATGATAATCAGAGAAGTAATCAAACTGTGCACAAAATCATTCCAAAATTATACGAAGTACTACTTCTTTTATTTCTTTGAATCACATCATCAAATGTTTAAAATTACAATATAAATCTCAGTATTTCTTCAATATCGCCTCCTCATTGATGATGACGAAGAATCATATTTCCTCGATCTTTTCGAAGAACTAAAAAATCTGTCATAGGCTTATCTTTTTCTTGAATCAGAAAGATGCTCCCAGGCTTCATTGATAAGCTTAGTGGCTCCCTCTGCGGCTACCGACGAACACTTGTCTGGATGAATCATCACCGCCAAGCCCTTATATCTCTTCTTGATTTCACCCGCTCCAACGCCATGATCTTTGATTCCCAGAACTGCATACCAGTCGTCTTTCATGATGGACTCCACCTTGTGCACCATATAAGCGTTCAAGTAATTGTTGAGACCAGGAAGTTGTGGGTTCTTGAACTTTGCAGAAACGATGGAAAAGATTGCTAAATCGTATTGCTGCTGCATGAAAAAGTCTTCTGCCATATCTTTGCAGAACTCGGCTTCCTTGTCTACAAGGAAGGAGAAGATTGATTCTACGGCTTCTGGGTTATTGAACAAAGACAACATTCTGAATGAAAGTTTGAGAGAATGTTTTTTAAGTTTTGTGGTTCTGAATCTTCTGATCTTCGATCATTATATAATAATGAAATAGAGATTAATTAGTCAGCAAGAAAAGAGTTTCCTAATTGTAGCAAAATTACAATTCTTAATAAATCTAATAATGGACAACTGTCATTCTATCTTTTATTTGCAATGAAATATCAAAATTTTACTTTTAAAAATATTAATTCCTACACCAATATGGAGATCGGAGGGCAAGAAAAGAGTTTCGTAATTTTGTAGGAATACAATTAATGAATATATATATCCTAATATTGTATATTATTCTTTTTTTATTTTAATATCTTCAAGCTCGATTTTAGATAAGAATAAAGATATTTTATCTTTAATTTGTTTTTAATATACTATCAAAATTTAAATTTTCAATAGGATATATTAGTAATTTGTTGATGTGTTAGTAGTATTTTACTAAGCTTTAACAGGCTTGTTTTTTAAGAAATCGGATTTTGAGATCAACATGATAATAATAAAAACTTTAATTCTATTAAATTCAATTTGAAATAGAATAAATTATTGGAAAACGTAATTAACCCTAAGATAAGACAAAATGAAGTAAGAAAAAAATATGTATCCTTTTTTTTTAAAGCATGCATATTGAATTAAAAATCTTGCTCTGAACCAAAACAAACGTTATATGGAGAAATTACTTAATGAACTTTTTGAGTTACGTATTCAATATCTTCTTTCTGGTGATGATTATGAAGGACCAAAGTTTCTTGATCTCATATAAGAAGTCACAGATTTGAAAGAAACTGCCTGATTAAGAAGGTTAAGAACTTAACATATCTTTATAGTCTCTTAATCAAAAGTATTAATTCTAAGCCCTAAGAAGAAAAGCTGGTATTAAGAAATATTACGAAACTTAGATTGGACTCGGGTCTGAAATTTTGTGTTTATCTTTGACTGTATCCATGCAATATAAATTTCCAAAGTGGCTTCAAGGTGGCTTGTGCATATTTAGAATTCAATTACCGTAAACATCAAAAGTATTGTATGAACTTATCAAAGAATAATAAGATATTCACAAAAGTAACTCCCACTGATTAGATTCCTCCCTCACGAATACAGTTAGAAGTGGTGTTGCCTATTTCAAAGGACAATTCGGCAACAAATTGGCATCCTATAGTTACTAGGTCAAAAGCTCAATCTCACCAGGCTGCAGGTCATACATATCTTTCTACTCACTCTATTTTAATTGAACCAAAAAACAGTCTCGGAAGCACTGACAGTAACAGAATAGAAAAAAGCTATGAATGAAGAATTTGAAGCTCTCTTAAGGAATAAATCTTCGGAGTTAGTCCCTTATACCTTGGAGATGAATTTAGTATGGTGCAAGTGGGTGTTCAAAACCAAATTGAAGTCTGATGGCACACTCCAAAGTCCAAGGCCAAACTAGTGGCTAAGGGTTTTCAACAGACTCTAGAACTTGATTACTTCGACACATTCTCTCCAGATATTAAACCTGCTACTATCAAGATAATGCTCTCATTTGCAGTTCATAACAATTGAGACATACAACAGATTGATCAACAATGTTTTTTATAAATGGAGAGTTAACAAAAACTGTTTTTATGATGCAGCCTGAATGTTTTGTTGACTTGTCTCAACCCAAACATGTTTGTAAACTTCATAAGGCTCTGTATGGGTTATAGCAGGCTCCAAGGGCATGGTTTGATAAACTGTAGCAGGCTCCAAGGGCATGGTTTGATAAACTGAAAAGAGCTCTCATTGAATGGGGTTTTCTCAGCTCAATCTCGGATACAAGTATGTTTTTCTTTTAAAAAGGGAACTCAAGTGATTTACTTACTTGTCTATGTAGATGATATTCTCATCACATGGAATGACTCTACATTAATTGCTCAAAGAGCTCTCATTGAATGGGATTTTCATAAGGCTCTGTATAGGTTACAACAGGCTCCAAGGGCATGGGTTGATAAACTGAAAAGCGCTCTCATTGAATGGGGTTTTCTCATATTAATCTCTGATACAAGTTTATTTTTCTTTTAAAAAGAGAACTCAAGTGACTTACTTACTTGTCTATATAGATGATATTCTCATCACATGGAATAACTCTACATTAATTGCTCAAATTGTTGAAGACTTGAACATAAACTTTGCCCTAAAGACTCTAGGTGCCTTAAGTTACTTTCTTGGTTTAGAGGTTCATAGGAACAAATTAGGTTTACTCCTCACTCAATCTAAGTATGCTCAAGATCTATTAAGCAGAGCTAGTTTGTTAGATTATAAACCATGTAATACTCCTATGGCAACAGGAACACAGTTGGGAAAGAAGATAGTGCCTTTTTTTATCAGCCTTCTCTATATAGAAGTCTTGCAGGTGGTCTACAATATCTAACTATTTCTGGACCTGACTTAGCCTTTGTAGTCAATAGGTTAAGTCAGCTTCTTCAATTCCCTACTACAAATCATTGGACTGATTGCAAAAGAGTACTCATATATATTAAATGGACTATACAAAATGGGTTATTCTTTCAAAGGAATCAAAAGTTCATACTAGAGGGCAGACTGGGCCAATGATTTAAGTGACAGAAGATCAACTACTAGCTATAGTATATTTCTTGGAGGGAAATTGGTATAATAGAGCTCTAGAGAACAAACAGTTGTGGTTCGCTCTTCAGCAGAAGCAGAATATAGAGCTCTAAGCGAGGCAGCAACAAAATTGGTTTGGGTTCAACACTTGTTTCAAGAACATGGAATACAAAGAAATAGTGCTCTTGCTCTTGGGTGTGATAATATGAGCACAAAAGTATTATCATCTAACCCTATTTTTCAAGGTAGAATAAAGCATATTGAGATCAATGTTCATTATGTGAGAGAGTTGGCTATTGAAAAGAAACTGTTTGTTCAATATGTAGCTTCTG